ATTTTGTTTGCTTCCATATCTTGGCTGCAGTGAACATGAAGGTGCATATATTCTTTCAAATTAGTGTTTTGTTTTGTTTTGTTTTTCGGATATATTCCCAGAAGTGGAATCACTGTGTCATAAGTGACGGCTATTCTTCTTAACAATAAACGGAAGGAAAAAGCAGGAGAGAGGAACCCACGTTTAAGAGATATATTTTTCCTGCTAAATTATGGTCTCTGTGCTGCCTCTCACTGGGGGCCCCCCGCTTGCTCTCCTCTGGGGTGACACTCTCCAACTCAATGTCCCTGCTGCAGAGGTCCTCTCTGACCGCTGCCTGGAGGCACCCCTGAGTGACCCTCCAACACGCAGCCCTGCCTTACAAGCTCAAGCAATCCACGCACCGCAGTGGTGCCGCCGATCCGACCACCGGTCCCTCTGAGAGGCAGGACCCGGGTCTGCCTGGTCCATGGCTGTGCCTCCAGGTCCTAGAAGGGGAGCCAGACACCAGAGGAGCCCAGAGCGGCCCACTGGCCGGCCCTTCTTCCCCGAGAGCAGCAGGCCCTGGCCAGGATGCAGCAGGGCTGAGCCCGCACCGAGTCCTGCTGCTCGCCTGCCACGGTACCCCAGTGCCTCGTGCTGGGCGCTGCCTCTGCCTGGCCCCCCCCTCTGACCCAGAGCCTAGCCCCTGCCTCTCATTTCAACATGTTTGGCTGCGCAACAGGGAACATCCAACTGTCCATGCGGAGAAACCGAGGCCCAGAGAGGAACAGGATGGCCTGAGGCCCTCGGCAAGCTGGCAGCAGGGGTAGCAGGGCCTCTTCATGACCCGCGACCCAGTGTCCCAGCCCATACGGAGCCTAATAGAAACCTACGGCCCGGGAGGGTCCGTTGCCAGGCTACAGGCTTCAGTCTCCACCCCAGGCTGGTCCAGCGCCCCTGGGCGTGTCTGTGTGTGAAAGGCCTGAGAACAGCTGGCCTCAGGCCCTGAGCCTGCACCCGGCTCCTGGGCTCAGGTCCATGATGCCGTGGGAACTGTGCCTGGGGCAAGCGCCCCACCTGCCACCCTCCACTCGCAGCAGCCGGGGACTGCTGGGCCAGCCCCCCGCTGCCCTCTGCCAGCACAGGGGTAGGGAATGGCAGTCAGTACCTTGGTCAGCACCAAGGGGGCACCTGACCCGCTGCAGCAAGACAGGCAGGACCCTTCCTAACCCCCTCTCCCCCCTGCCTGCTCTAGTCCCCTCAACTCCCACTCAGTACAGCACCAGCCCCCTGACCAACCTCCTTGCTTCTGCCCTCACTCCCTGCAGGCAGCTCCCCGCCCCCCCCCCAAAGGTCCTGTTTAAAAAACAAGTCAAGCCCGGCTCGTGTAGCTCAGTGGTTGAGTGTTGACCTATGAACCAGAAGTCATGGTTCGATTACCGGTCAGGGCACATGCCTGGCTTGCAGGCTCAATCCCAAATGTGGTGTTGCTCGGTGGTTGAATGTTGACCTATGAGCCAGGAGGTTAAGGTTCAATTTCTAGTCAGGGCACATGCCTGGGTTGCAGGCTCGATCCCCACAGGGGGGCGTGCAGGAGACAGCCAATCAGTGATTCTCTCTCATCATGGATGTTTCTCTCCCTCTCCCTCCCTCTCTGAAGTCAATAAAAATAGGTGTTCTAAAAGCAGAGGTCAAGGACCCACGCTGCCTTCAGGAGGGCGCAGCGGCCCTGTCTGATCCCACCACGGGCCACTTCTGAGGCGGCGCGATGCAGATGGACTCACCGGACTCGCAGACCACAGAGCCTGGCCGCAGGTCCAGCATCATGGTGAGCAGGGCGATGTCGGTGGAGTAGAGGATCTGGGTGCGGTGCGGCAGGTTCAGGGTCCAGAGCTCGGGCGTGGGGTGCAGCACGTACA